TTCCGAAATTGTTGGCTGTTGGCGATGGGTGGCCCTGGTCGATATCCTTTCTGGGCTTCCTTCCTTTCCCATAATCGTGTGTTGATTCTTGTTGCTAACTCAATTAGCAAGTATAAATCCTTTAGCTTGTCGTAGTGTACAAGTTCGTCCTTAATAATTTCCTTTAGACCGTTCTCGTAAGTCATGCGTAGTGCCGAATCATCCTAGTTGATTCGCGCTTGGTACTGCTTAAACTCTGCTGTGTACGCTGATACTAACTTGGTCTGCCTCAGGCGTGAGATCGCTTTTTCGGCCTGGCTTTCTGCGTCTACCTCTCCAAAGATGCGTCCTAATTCTTCTTTAAAGTTGTCCTAGCTGCTGAATAAGGCACGTGTCTCGTCCTTCGTTCCTTTAGTTTTGACGTTGGTGAGGAAGTCCTCTACGTAGGGTTGCATCTAACTAGCTGCCTTTCCTTTCATATGGGTATTTGCTATAAGGATCTTTTCCTCGTCGTTAGGTACTTCGTTGTATTCGCAATACAAGTCGATGTTAGTAAGGAACGTCCGCAACTCGGTGCGACTTCCATCGTACTTGTCTGGGGTTGCCATCTTGGGTTTCTGTCGAGGTTTCTCGTTTGGCGTGGCCATCATCTGGCTCGTAAGCTAGTAGACTATGGCTTGTAGGTTAGCCACCATTTTTGCCTGGATCTTAGTTTAGTACCTAAGATTCCTCAGTTCTCGTAAGTGATGAGCGTCTTCATCCACTTCTTCGTCGTCACTCGGCGTCAGCATTTCGTCGTCGATTGCTAGGTTGGGCCCTGATCCGGGACCCTGTACTAGTCCGCCGGTACTGGCCTGAGATTGAGAGTGATTGTGAGACATCCTAAATCTTAATCGGGTATCCTATTGTTAATCTTCTAATCCACTAAATCCGTGGGTAGTCAAAGTGTTACACGGGGTTGGGTGCTGATACTTCTCTAAGCTCGATCCAGGTTAGGGCGAGTGAGATGGGTGAGGAGCGCCGTGAGGTAGTTGTCTGGCGATGCAGTGGAGTGGGCGTGCTTGTAAGATAGATAACAATAGGTTTGACAATTCCTAATCTATATCAAATAGACTAACAAGTATCAATCTTATAAAGTTAAGTAACTAGTAAGAAAGTACAATTCAAGTTAACTACAACGAGAGTAAATAATGAAATTCATCCATCCTTATATCCTCATTGCTTCTAGTCCTGTCCTCCCTGGCTTCCCATCTTGGCGGGAGGTTTAGGAGGACGTTGGCCTCCCTATCTGCAGTGGCCTCCCAGAGGCCATGCCTTGGCGGGATGCCAAGTCACGTGATCTCGCCCCGCGATGATCATCCTTTCTGTTGGGATCCCCAGTGGTTTCCCAACTATCTCTTGTCATACCCAGGAAGAGG